AATTAACTTTATTTTTGCCCGAGCCTCAAATGATCGACAGTTACAACTGCTGGATGAAGTTGGAAATAACTATCATGGTCTGATTTTGCACAGCAAAGTGCGATGGTTGTCAAAAGGGAAGATGCTTAGCCGTTTTTCAGCTTGCCTAACGAAATCCGGCCGTTCCTTGAAATGAAGGGCATTGAGCATCGTGAGCTAGCCGAAACTGAGTGGCTCCTCATGTTTTACTATCTCGTGGATATGACCGAACATCTGAACTAACTTAAAGTGAAATTGCAAGGCAATGAAATACAGTTTTATCCCTTCAACAATCCGTGTTTGCTTTTGAAAACAAACTTTAACTCTTTATCATGGAACTTGAAACAGACCGATTACTACGTTTTGAAAATTTACGACCATATAAAGATGCATGCACAGTAAGTGAGTCCACTCAAAACTTTGATCTCCACCAGCGGAGTTGGCAAGCAAGCACATGTGGACAGAAATTAAAAACTTCAACCCGAAGACCAGCTGATACGCAAAACTTGGAAAATGCTTCCGGTCACATACCGCACACTGCAGCGTGTGAGTATTGCTTTATTGACCCTGTTTGGATCTATGTATGCATGTGAGCAGTCATTCTCATATCTTAGATACATCAAGTCTATAATTAGATCACGTCGAACGGATGAAAGCCTCAACGCTTGCATGAAGCTTAACCTCACCAACTACCGACCTGACTATAAAACCCTCAGCGAATCCATTAGACGTCAGAAGTCACATTAACAATGAGTATTATAAGGAGATTATTTGAAAGAATAAATTCAGAGGTTTATTATTCTCGCATTTAATGGAATTTCATTTTAAAATATACTATATGGCTCTTTCTGAAATATATTTCCAAATACTTGCTTTCTTGGCTCTCTGAGTTAAAAAGTTTGCCGACCTCTGGTCTAGGGCAATAGGTGCAAAGGTTCTACACGCCCGCACAAGAAACTTTTCTTGTCGCGGCGACTCACCCCCGTCCCCATACCCAGGTCACTTCGGCGCCTCCCCC